CGGGGGACAGCGGCGGAGAGGAGCGGGCAGCGCCCCGCCGGCGGCAGGCGTGAGGGCCGTCTCCGGAGCAATAGGTGAGAGCGGCCGCGGACGGGTCCCGGCGGGGGGAAGGCGGGAAGAGGCCGGGCCGGGGGAGCGCGGGAGGGGCGGCGGCCGTTGCCTGTCGCTGGGGCGGATCCTGCGGGGTAACGACGGGTGAAGGGAGGGCAGACAAAGGGCGGGAGGAGAAGGTCGGTCCTGCTGGCAGCAGAGGCCTCCCCCGCACGCCTGGCGCCTTTAGGAGTGAGGTGGAAAGAGGGTTGAGCGGCATCGAGCCCGGGCCTGAGGAGATTTCACCTGAGGTAGCTGGAGTCGGGGACAGCCTCGAAGCGTGAGGGGAATCGCCTGATAGACCGACCGATAAATGCAGCCCTGATCAATGCGACCGATAAATGTAGCCCTGATCAATGCGAAGCAATTCACGTTTGGGAAAACGCCGATATAAGTGACAACGAGGCGTAAATGAGCATTTGGAGGTCGTTCTGGACAGTGCTCCCAGGCTGTCAGCCCTGTCAGGGCCGTAAAGGAAACAACGCCGGGGACGGTGAGGGAGACAGCTTGAGAACAAAAGGGAATCGTAAGGAGAGACTACACAGATTCTTACTCTTAAAGGGGGGGAAGACCGAGGAGGGCTTGGATGGGCATCTGTAAGATCATGAATGAACTGAAAAAAATTCATGGAATGATTCTTCATGTTCGCAGTGTGGAACTGAGAGGTGCTTAATTATGAAAAAGCATCTCTTTTTATTCTTATATTTGATAAAGAGAATAACAAAGCATTTCAACTCGCCGCTATATGCTTGTAGGTCAAAGATATGTAAATAAGTTCAAAGAAGGATTAGAGAATGACTACCGAGCATGTTGATTGGGACATGAATTCCAGATTAATAGACCTCCTAATAGCAGACTCCTAGCAGACCGAAGGAGGCTTTCTATAGCCATGCTCTGTTCTTTTGCTCTTCTCTAGACACCTGTATGCACGGCCATCTTTTATGTCACTCCTTTGTTGTGTTTAGTCTGATCCAGTACAGCAGGTCTTATGTCCAAAGCATTCAGGCTGCTGGCCGGGGAGCCACCGTGGGGATGCCTGCCTGAAAGCAGTGTCTTGGGTTTGTTGCCTGAAAGCCAAGGCCTCTCCAGCTACCTTTTTGACTGGTACTAACATAAACCTGCTACGTCTTTGGTGAGAGGAATTAGTCTGCAAAAATAAATTAAAAATTAATAAAGTTTGTTTCATCAAATCAGCTTCTATGTCCAAGTACAATGTCATTCTGGGAAACCTCTCTGGCTCTTATTTGTTAGTTCTGGGAAACTTCTCTGGCTCTTATTTGGTATACCTTCACATCTAATGGTGTCTTCAAAATTGTGCTTTTTTTTTCTGTTTAAGCAAACAGAAATTTACTGGGAAAAAGTCTGTTGGTTAAGTTTTCTCATCGTGCTTTTTTGCCCTGCCTGAACATCGTCTTTGAGCAAACTGATATTTCTGAAAAGATTGTTCCTCTTCCCTCCCCCCTGTAATTCAAACTCTACTCTGCCTTGTGAGCAATATCCCAATAATATGCAATAGTATTTTATGTGATTTAGCATTTTTCTAAATCTAGAGATTTCTTTTTCCTACATAAGGCTTAGTTTTAGCTTGGAAAATAAGAGTCAGTTTGTGGTTTAAATCACCTACAATGAGGTAACTGGCTTGGTGGGCAAGGGGAGAGCAGTGGATGTTGCTTATCGGAGGGACATTATCAATGTGCATGAATACCTGATGGGAGGGTTTAAAAAGACAGAGCCAGGCTCTTCTCAGTTGTATCTAGTGAAGGAATAAGAAGCAATGGGCACAAATTGAAATACAAGAAATTCCATTTAAACATAAGGGAGGAAACAAATACAGTGAGGATGGAACAGGTTGTCCAGAGAGACTGTGGGGTTTCCTCTTTGGAGATACTCAGACCTGGAATGGACAATGTCCTGAGCGACCTGCTGTAGCTTTGAGCAGAGGGGTGGATTACATGATCTCCAGGAGTCCCTGCAGACCTGAGAGCCTGTGATTCTGTGAAATGCAAAAGCTGAGCAGTTCTGCGTAGGTCTCTCTCTTTCTACTTGTAAAACTTAATTGTAAGTTTTACAAATCACTTAATCCTTGCTTAGGCAAGGATTTCTCTTACAACGTTGCTGGCTGAGGTTTAGCAAGGGGAGAATAAAGTAACGTGATAAATGCTGACAGGTTGCTTATAGCTCTCCTGTAAGTATACTTTGCATAGTTATTGGTGGAGTGATGCATGTAGATAAAGATCATCATTGAAATCTAGGAAATAGCACAGAAAATAGTGTTTATTGATCTTGTAGTGTTGATTCTGTGATACTTTTTTTTGTGGTCTTTGTGAGGTCCATGGGAGACTGAAGTTATGAGGAATATTAACCTGGTATTCGAAGCTCTGAATTTTGTTGCGGTTTGCAAGAAATGTTAGGCAATATTAAGTCTGTGTTAGCACTGGCCTCCTGTCAGTGTGGGTTAATTCATTTTATCCCCTTATGCAACTTTTGATAAGTGGTGTAGATTTCTGTGCTAGTGGGAGTTATTTGCATTGACGTATGATATTCTTGGGGTGAGTTCCCTCACCCCAAGACTGAAAAATTGTCTTGTGTGTCAGACCAAACTAGCAAACTTTGTATTGTGTAAGGTTTGATCACATTTGTCTCCAACAGTTACCAGAATCTTAACTTTAAATAAAAGGCCGTCTAACCAGTGAGACTTAAACTGTTAGCACGGTTGTTTTATAATATGATCTATAACAGGAAAACATGGACTTGAGAGGTCTATTACACTTCAGTGCATTTCTGTGACTAGAGAAAGATGGAGAGAAAAATTACAGCGTCTAAGGCTAGTATCCAGTTGTGGTTTTATGCAATTTTCTTACTGAGGTTCGTTAATGTTTTTGGATTTCAGTACTGTATTTTATAGGAAAAGCACATCCTTCAGAAATGGACAAGATCTATGCAGACCCTAACATGGAAAAGTAAGTTGAAACCTTCTAAGAATTTTATTGTGGTATAATATAAATATTGTCGTTTAGAGGCAAAACTTTTCTTAATCCTTGTGTGCACTTCAGGATCTCTTGAATAAAATGTGTTTTCCATTGTGAAGAAGAAGAACAGGGCGTTTCTTTGATTGTGTGTAGGAAAGCTCTGAGGAAATTTCGTAGCAGCGGATTGTCTGGAGACTAACTGACCATGGGGTTTGGAGGGCGATCTGCTGAATTTTCCAAAGCTTATTTTTGGGAACTAGTGCTGGAATGAATGCTCTATTCCAAGCAAGTTTGTTTATTTAATTTCACAATTGTAAAACCAAGGGAGAAATCAATTTATTAACCTTAAAAACGTGGCAGTACTGTTCAAGAAATACATCTTGGTTCAAGTTTATGCCCTAATACCTGTTTCCCTTTTTTCTCCTCCAGTGATAATACAGAGCACATCAGAGGGAAGCGACTGTCCTCTGTGAGTAACTTAAGGCATTTCTCAAAAGAAAACTGTGCGAGTGAGTGAAGGAAAGAAAGGGAAGCTGTAAGGAGGAACTTGTTTTCTCATCACAGTTGAAGAAAAGCATTCCAAAAGCAAAGAAAGAGCCTATTAGATTGATATGATTGACTGGGGCACTGGCGGCTCTTATAAACTCTCTCCAGCCAAGTAATCAGTTCTTGTAGTTGGAGCTCGTCTTCTCAACTGTCATATTTTCTTTTAGATTTTAAAGGCTCCACGAAATCCTCTTGATGATCTGGGAAATGGGAATGAATTGACGCAGGTAGGTCTATTAAGTCCTTTCTTGCCAATGTTCTTAACTTCTTCAGTTTGCTCCTCAACTTGTCACTGATTAAACTGTGTCACTAGAATAATGCAGGTATAAAAACTCCTGTAATAACTGCTCAGGAGGATGTTTGGAGTACTAAATATTATAAGAAATCCATTGAGTTTTTCTTATACTTCTATTTTACATCAGAATATTTCTTCTGTCAAGAAAAAAGGAATAAACAGAGATTAATAGGCCTAACTTGCTCCTGCTGTAGGCCATTTCACTTGAAGTTTGATCCACCAGTGTACAAACTGGTATAGTCAGTAAGATGGATTTACATCTGAAAAAAACCCAGCCTGCCAATTTATTTAAAGTAAAAGCTAAAAAATAAACATTTTCTTCCAGAAATACATACAGAATATATTTCATGTTTATAGCGTCTGTTGTTTCTTAGAAATTGTAAGTATAGGCCTGTTCAGTTTGGATTTCTTTTTAAATGCCATTTCTACCTAGGGTGTGTTCTACGGACTAATGTTCTAGTTGCATCATATATTTATATGATTTACCTGTTGCTGATTACAGAACTTGAAAACTCATTTTTAGCATATAAGGCTTTCAGTGAAAAAGCCTCTAATAATTTCTTTAGAATACGAAATATGAGCCTGAAATATTTATGCACAACGCATCTATTTCAAAACTGGGTTGAGTATGAAGAGCGGCTCGCAGTCTTCATTTAAACTGTAATACCTGTTAACAATGATGGACTGTACTGCTAATGAGCAACAGAAGGCTATCATATACAGTAGTGAGACATCATTCATAACTGCTTGTGTTGCTGACATGATTTTTTTTTTAAAAAAAAAAGTATTTTACAGGCTTTGTTACTCGTGTACATATAACGGGTAGTGCCTGGTATGTTAATACTGTGTGTTTTCTTAAACAACGAGTGTTCCGCTGTCCTGACACTGAGCTGTTTAGTTAGGGAAGCTTATTGCAGACAACTGCACAGCAGCGGTATGATGAGTTAGCTTTCCAGTATCTGTAATATTGCATCATTACATACCTTGTAACATTGCATTAGTATGATCACCTAGTCAGTGACACCATTTAAACATTTCTATAGGAAAATGGTGACTTTGATTCTTTCATGAATCCTTCCCTTTCTCCCATAAAGACAAACCATTATTACTACTTTTTTTTTTTCAGTTCTTGTAATGGAAAACTAAAGAAAAAAAATCCTGCGACTCTCTTGCTAAGCAACTACATATATTTTCCCTAGCATGCCAGACAAACGCCAGACAAAAATCCTTATAACTGGTATTCTGCTTCTTGTGTGTGAAACCAGGCAGTTCTCACAAAGTGATCTTTAGATCCTACTTCTTACGAGATAGGTGTCTTTATGTCAGGAAAAGTTGGAGAACTATGATGTAGTTTAAGGATGTTGGTAAATATCTGTTGTACTTGTTGGGTTTACAGATTATTATTTTGAGGGGGGTGTGGTTTTTTGTCTGGTTTTGTGTTTCTTGAAAAGCTATGCTTATTGTGGCTTATGGGATAAGAACAGTTCTCTGTATATCAAAGTGTTGTGTTCTTTATTGTCAGGATATCAATATAGAAAAACGTAGGAAAAACTCTCGTCGTGTCAGCTTTGCGAACACCATAAAGTAAGTTTGATCTGAAGGATGCAGATCTACATCCTTTATTTGAGCAAAAAATGCAGGCTATGGGTAATAATCTGGTACCCCCTAAAATTGCTGTTTACATTCGTTTGTGAGTATTCAGTGAAGGCAAGCTGGTGACTGTTGTTATATTGAGTTGATTTTGAGCCCTAAAAGAGCCATTATTCATCTTCTCTTCCTAGCTAGAAAAAAACGGTTCAGTGAATTTAATATAATCAGGAATTTTTGTTTCCCATTAAGTTTTTTAGTGATTTCCATCTTAAGTATGATAATAGCATCTTCCCGCTGGAAAATATGGTTGGGTTCAGTAAGCGTCTGGCTTTTGATATCTCATTTCAGAACATACCATGTGGAAAAGATTGAAATTAGGGCTTTTTCTTTTTACTTTTTTTTTTCTTTGCTTCAAAACAGATGGTCTTGTGTTTTTCAAAAACTGGGTTGTTTTGTTTTTTTGTTCTTAGCTGCAGAGTCTTCCAGCGAGATCTTAAGAATAACACGTCAGAGAGAGAAAGTACAGGTAAAGCTCCTTTCTCTCCTCCTGATAGGATTTGCAGACAATTAGCAACAAGCTTTTAGCCTGAACCGAAGAAGTCAGGCCTGTCAGTCACAGGTAAGGAACAATATGGTCAGCCGTTTATCATGGACTGGCTGAAAATCCATTAGTTACTGGTATTGTGGACCTTGTAGCTCAGAAAAGGAATTATTTTCTTAGACAAAATGCACCTAGAACAAAATCTGCTGTGGGGATTTAGATCAAAAGAAGGCTGAGCAGAATGTCATATTCACTCTGTCAAAGATTACCTAGGAAGAATCTGAAAAGCTAATGCATTTTCAAGTACTTCGCTTCTCTGGGTTTTTGCCACGATAAGAAGGCACATTGAGAGTGAGAACTTCAGAACATTCTTTTCTGTGCAGTTTACTCGTCTCTGAATGTTTTGATCATGCTTCTCACATTGTAATGTCTAATTTTCTTACTATTTTTAGAGTGTGCAGCAGATACGAGGAATGATGTCCTGCTTAATCAGTAAGTTTGAAAAAAATTCCCATGACTATAGAGTTCTGTCCTGCCAATACATTTCGTCACATGATGTGCAACCATCAAAATATTACTCCTCAAAGAAATGCAGCGTATGTATTTATTTAGATATAAAATTGCTCAGTGCTTTTGATTGGTGAAAGAAGGGATACAGCAAAAAAAAGGATATAGCTGTGTTGGTCACTCACAAAAAGATAGCGGTTTCTGAATAATTGAACAATTATGGCTTGAAACTGCTTCCTTCCAAAGCTGATTGCATGGGAATGTTTTCCAGGAAAGACCTACCAGATTCCATATCTGCTAGACATAGTCTTCAATATTTATTACTATAACTTTTTCCCTCAGAGGTAGATAAAGTGTTAGTCTGGCCTCAAAGTTCTTGTCTAGGTAAAACATGATGATGGGATTTTTAAAATTAAAATGACCTGGTAAGTAAAATAACAGATTTAGACAGCTTCTATGTATGAAGGGGAATTTCTTACATTTAAAATGTATAGCAAGGAAACAGCTTATGTACAACTAGTTAATTCATGCTTTTGAAGGTATCAACCCACTATAGTAACATATATATATATGGGGGGTGCGCATGCGCATATATATATAAAAATAAAAATCAGTACTCTAGCTAAGGTTTCTTGGTCTTGAAAGAGCAATCAATAAAACAGTGGAGAGCAGAAGGCATTACAAGTTAGATGGAAAATCACACAAGGTGGTCGTTGTGTCTGGCTTTTTGTTGTACAGAACTATGATTTCAGGCTTTAGGAGCACAGCTTCAGTTTCCCAAAGCGAAATGAATAACTAAAAGTGGAAGGTCTGAGTTAAAAATAAAGAATTATTCTTTTCTCTTTTTTTTACTTGTCACTGAGGAATTAAAATGCCATCTGTATGTTGAACAATGGCTTGTGGCATGCTAAGATGAGAGAATCTCATGGGAAAATAAGGTTGCAACTCAGATTAGAATACATTGAAGACATAGAAGTAGTGTCTGGTATCTGCTGTCCAGTCCTGTGTGAGCTATGCAACAGAATTCTCTGCCTTTTCAGTATATTGCTGAAGCCTTCTGTTTTGAAATCTTTTAACAAACTGTTTAACTAACCCACCTTTTGCAGAAATGAAGAACCTGAAGCTGTTCCGTGTGAGATCACTGGTGAGTTTGGAAATAGATTTAATAACAAAATGACTATCCTTATTCAAAACTATTGATTCTGTTTGAATAATTTTAACATGCCTAGAACAATCTCTCTGACTGAGATGACTAGTGCATGAAGGGGCTTTGTCCCGTAAAGCTGTTTACAAGCATTGTATTGTAGAAGTATGGGTGGCTCTTCCACATGCTGAAGGGAGTACTGAAAATATTTTTCAGGATATATTTGGCTTTAATTGTACTTACTTACTCAGTGGTATTTGTAAAACAAGTGCACAGATCTTCAGCTCAGTGGATAAAATAATAAGAAAATAGCACAACAAATGGAGTATTTCCTTTTCTTTCAACAGGGATGAACACTTTGCTTCATGCCCCTATCCAGGCATCGGTGCAGCAGACTGAGGTATATGAAGGCTTTTATTTTTTTTGGTGCTGAAAATATCAGTGTCCAAAATATATTCCAATAATTTGTGTAGTAAAGATGAAAAATGTAACTCAACTGCCTAAAAAAGAAATCCTTGTCTTCACATAAAATTCTTCTGAAAGCTAATCTTCTATATTTTGAAGTCTTTTCCTAATCGATAGGCATTATACTGCAGTATTGATAACTCTGGCTCCTATAATTGCCTGCTAATTTTTCAGTACCTGAGCTAGTTCCTCCATTCTTTTCAATTTTTATCTAAGAATATGCAAAGGAGCTTATGTTTCAGATAGGTCTGATTATGTATTTTTTTCTCATGTATTACTCTCTGCTTATGTATTTTTTTTCTTCTGTGGGTAGAATGGATATGCACAAATGTACTCTCTGTTCCTGCTGTTAAAAAGCTTTAGACAAATTGCAATGATTAGCATGAAAAGGTAACTGAATTTCTTCAGCTGAATCAAGTAATAACGCACCAAATTCTTAGCTAAGACCTTCACAGACACAATTACACAGAAATCCTGAACTGTGTTACACTTCAATCATGATGTTATGGCACTGTGTTATTAAACAAAGCAATTGTCGAAACACGTCTCTCTTACTGCAATGGCTTCTCACTTTTATGTTAGGTTTAAAGATATGGCTTAAAAACATATGTTAGCTCTTGTTAATGAATGTGAAAAACCAAACCAAAACAAAGAAACCCAGTCAAAATGTACTGTGGATGAGAAGATATATACCATGAGGCTCTAAAGGTCAGATTGAAACTCTGTCTCTCCTTGTTTTGGGTATGTATATGGTTGTGCTGCTTCTAGTATATTTTATTTCTTGCATTTATAAAATAGCATATGTAATTTGAAGTAAACATGAAGCTGTTCTTAATCAAGATATTCAATATATTTGATAAAATATAATATTGTATCTTGTTACTGGCCAATTTTTTCCTACAGCTTTAAAACTGTAAATCCTGTCTATTAAAGAGACTAAAATCTCCCTAGTCAGTGGCAGAAACGTCTTTTAAAACTTCCAACTTGGTGCTGCTGCTTTGGGGCATGTGCATGATAAGCTGGGCAAGGTTTCTACCTGCAGTTATGGTGGAAAAAAAAAGGGGGAAACCACACTGTAGAGAGATAGAAAATACTGATCCATAAGACTCAGTAATTGTTCCAAGCTTACCAAGATATGTCTAGATATGAAATCTTTGCCCAACAGTAAAACTGAGACACATTCTTTCAAAAAAAGCCATTAAATATGATATGCTGTAATACTTAAGTCATCAACCTTTCCTTGAATGCGTTACTGCTTATCGAGGAGGACTGAAATCAATAATTTTTTTTCCAGAAAAAAAGATGTAAAGCTAGAGCTATAACCTTAGGACTGCATCAGTTGGCTTTTGCTTTAAATAGAATAAACCATTGTATCATTTGTTTTAAGTGTCAGTAACTGTAATTTCTTCCTCCTTTTTATTTTAGTGGCATGATGTGGACAACGCCATTCAAAGAACAAATAGGCATGACACCACCCTCATCTTTTCAGATGAAAATGAAATGGATATGACAGCTAGTCACACTGCAGTGATTACACGTAACCTAAAAAACAATCAAACTGATAAAACTGAGAAAATAGATATCACGTCATTTCTGGCTGGATTAAACTCTAACAACGAAAAGGCAGAAATGAGCAAAGAATTTCATTTTTTCTCTGACCCTACAAACCATCCATGCCCATCTTTTGAACAGAAGGAAGATGCTACTACGGTAAAAAAAATAAACTTCAATGAATTTCTGATGAGCTTGAAGTCAAATGAAAAGACACTCAATCCTATTGAGGGACCTGAAAAAGAGAATGTTTTTTTTGTCCCTTCACAAGTCTCAGAAGACGTGGCACGCTCGTCGGTGGAATTTGTATATTCCCATGAACCACTGGACACCTGCAATGTAACAAAAGTGTTTAGAGGGCAAGATGATGGAATGGAAATGACAAAATGCCAGGCATCTGATGTTAAAACTATGTTTTCTGGTATTTGTGAAGCTCCACCAGAGCAATTACTGTGTGCGGATGTTACTGAGGCATTTGCAGATGATGGAATGGATATGACAACTAGTCACACTGCAAAAATGTCTTTTCCCTTCTCCAGTGTTGGGAATCAAAGTCTAAACTTCAAAAAGGATTTCCCATCCACAGAGTTAGATAATTCTATATTAAAGAAAGCATCTAATCAGCACTTAATTGTTGGGCAGGACCCTCAACTTTGTACAGACGAGAAAATAGTAAATGTTGAAGACAGACGAGATCCTGCAGTGCTGCGAACTGTTAAACAAGAGGCCAGGACAACGTCTGCCATCCCAGGATCCATTTCTTCCGAGACTGTCTTCCGAGGTGATAAAACTGTTGTTTTTTCTAAATGTGATGACATGGAAATTACTGGGAATTACACAGATGTATTCTATAATGACAGTACTAAAGAAATGATCGGTTCACGTCATAAAACTTTAGAAAAGCCAGTTAATACAAACTCTTCACTAGGAGAAAACAGACACCCAGCACATGGCGATAGGGACATTACAAAGAGTCTAACATCTTTAGATAATCGAGCTTCTCAACCTTTGGGAAAAAACCTTCTAAACACTTCAGTTTCCTGCACAAATGACAAAATGGGCAGGTTTTCAGATGACGAAAACATGGACATAAACAAAACTCATCCTGCTGCCTTTGATGTTGCTCCTATTAATACAGTACAAGAATATGAGAATAATCATAATCAAAATAATGTACTATCCAAGCAGCTGCAAAACCAGACCTTCCAGTTTTCTGGTAGTTCTGATGTAGATATCACAAGTCAGACTGCAGCAATGGAACGTGGGGATTTGAAAATGAACACAAATAAACAAACTGTTACTCATTTGCCTCCAAATAGTTCATTTATTTCCAGTAATGAGCCTGTTCCCTCTGGAGTGAAAGGAAACGAACAACTTGAAACAATACTAGGAATAAAAGCAGATTGCCAAAACTCAGACAGGCAAGAGAAACCCCATACTATGAAGGCAATACACAAAGTATTGTCAACTCATGTAGATTCTGAGAGAGATTTTTCAATTGGTAAAACAGTTTCTACAGAAGAATATTTTAAAAATCCTCACTCAGTTGATGGCCTGTACTTGAGGGGTGCTGAAGAGCCGTTGCTAGCCAATACGTCTGAACCACATAAGGGAAGTTCCCAATTGCCTTCGTTTTTAGAAAAGTCAGTTGTGTTTCCCTCTGGTGAAAACATGGACTTGACTGGAAACTGTGCGGTAATGGTTCCTGATCATAACATCAATCCTGTTTTATCAGAAAGAAAAGCGGTACCTGGACACATTGTTCAAGGTGAAAATAAAATAATGTCCTTAAAAAAAGGGGTCATGATGACAAGAAATGGTCAGGAGCAGCCTGCGTGCAATGTGTACTCGTTGGTATCTGGCAAGAAAATGTTAACCATGACTGGTTTAAAACATTTGCCTTTTGCAGGTGAGAAAACGACCATATTTTCAGAAGATGCTGATATGGACATCACCAGAAGTCATACAGTTTCAGCAGACAAAATAATTTTGCAGTGTAGAAGTTCAAATGACGACATATCCTTAATTTCTGGAGATAAAACTTGTGTTTTTACCTACAATGATGACATGGAAATAAGTAGACTCGATACTATTGCAGTTGACAAATCTATGGAAAAGGCTGCATCTCAAGGCATGCTTGACATGGCTAAAAGGACTGGAAGGAAAAGCTTGAAGGGAACAACAGGGGAAAAGACTGTTTTATTTTCACTGAACAATGAGAATAATGACATGGAGATCACAGAGAGCCATACGGCTGCAATAGGCCATGAAATGGTCTTGCAAAATGAGGTAGGGCTTCATTCTGTCTCTTCAGCTCATCCTGTTAAAACTGTTATGTTCACAAGTAGCCAGGCTGACGTGGACACTACCAAGTCTTGCTCTGCTGATGAAATTACCGTAAAAGTTGTATGTGGTGATAAACTGAACTTGGATAAGGAGGTTGGACAGCAAGCACTTTCAAATAACGAAGCTACTATGTTTGCTATGGATGATATGGAAATCACTAAAACCCATAATGTAGCTTTGGAAGAAAATTCTCTGCAAGGTAGGCAACCCGATCAGTCTGTTCCTTTAACTTCCACAATTATATTTACGGGTTACCAGGCTGACATGGAAATGACCGAGTCTCACTCTGTTGATGAAAGTATTGAAAGAGTCTTATGTGAGGATAGGTTAAACCTGGCTAAGCAGGTTGGACAGGAGGCTGTTTCAGATAGCAAAACCATCGTTTTTACTTTGGCTGAGGATATGGAGATCACTAAAACTCATACAGCTGTATTAAGTGGTGAAATTGATGTACAGGACAGAGAGTCCATTCCAGCCTTTTCTGCAGTTCCTGCTGATAAAACCATTGTGTTTACCCACAACCAAGATGATATGGAAATAACTGCATCTCATACTATTGCTGTTAATAACAATATTAATGGATTTGGGAACCAAGAAGTGTCACATAAAAGCACTCAGCAACCAGACTCGCGCAGTGCGTTGTTGTCTTCTTGCAGAGATGAAATAGATTCCCTGCATACAAAAGACCTGAATGGTGAATATCATACAAAATCTAAGGATAAGCCCAGCATTCCCTCTTCTGCTTCATCAGCCTCAGCGTTTCCTAGTGAGAAAGGAGCTATCAAAGTCCACAGTGGCACACCACCAGATTCCGTTTATTCTGTCTCACTTCCAGAAGAGACTATGGATGTGCGGGCACCACAGGATCTTGACCTCCCCACGGATAATTCTGCCCCTGTAAACGGTCAGCAGGATCTCATACAGCCAGAAAAAATGAAATCAAAGGGAGTATCTTTCAAGCTTCCAAGTAATGGGCCCATGGATTGCAGTGAAGAAAGTAGCAATTTGGTATCCCGTGTTTCACTTCCCATTCAGCAACCAGATTCTTTAACGGGTTCTCCAGATGCACGTAGTCCTCAGAGAAACCAAGTATTGAAAGGTGATTCATCTAGACGTGAAGATTTAGCTACAGATTTAGGCTTGGCTGAAGCAAGCCTTGTTCCAGTTTCTAACAAGGAATCAAAGGAAAATGAGGGGCCGTCAGCTGAAGGGGAGGCACCTCCAAAAGACTTTCAAATAAACTCTGAACAAACTAAGCAACTTTTGGTCAGTGACGGTCCAAGAGATCAAATAGATCCCATTCTTGCACCTGAACTATCAGGTATTTTAAATGTTTGTTCAAAACTGAAAAACATTAGAAGGAAATCTGCAGTTCTCTCTGATTCTGAAACTGCTTTTTCTGACCAGTTGCCCAAATCATCAACTCAGCCAGAGGATACCTTGAGGTTAGGAAAAAATACTGTAAATGAAACAAATTATTTATTTTATACCAAAGAGCAGGAGAACACATGTCTTCAATCTGGAGCTGCTCCCACAGATGCAAATTTAGGCATGGCACTTAAGGATAAATATCAAGGAATAAATATCCCTTTAGGTATCTTCCAGCCTAAATTACCGAACAGAAGAAATCCTTCTGTTTCTAGCATACAAGACATAAAGGCAAAATCTTCAGACAAAGGAGAAGCACCAGTTTCAGAAGTAAGCGTAAACGCTGGTGAAACCCCAGATAACAAGAAGTCTAGTAGGCAGAACTTCAGCCCTTCTCAGTTTATAGCAGAAGAATTTCTTCCCGTCTGCCTGGAAGAAATGGATTCAAATGAATCTGTAAGCTCTGAACTCGTGGAAAATGTTTGCAATGAGATAAGCAAAAAACAAATCTCCCACAATGAAAAGGATCGATTTGAAGAGACAAAAACTTGCAACAACACAAAAAGAGCTTTGGAACAACACGAGGAGGATCTTCAAAGTCCAAAGAAGCTCAAGAGGGATGAAAACTTGGATGGTGAGGCCTCCCGAGACTTGCAGGTGAGCCTCATCACTCATTATAAGGATACAGTGAATGCTAACAGGACTTCTGTTTCAATTTTGGGGTGTAAGCAGATCTATCGGTAGGTTTTCTTGTTTCCCTTAACCACCAGTTTGCTGTCATTTTGCTATGTCGTCCCCTGTATTTTTCATTGTTTTGCCAAAATAGACGAATCAGGTTGATGTGTGCAACTTTCCTGAACGGTGCAAAACAGACAGAGTAAGGCATATGTCAATTTTAAATAATTCCCTCCATAGTATCCTTTTAATTCTTTCTCAACTAAATACTCTTAGTCCTCTGAACTGAACTATTTGCTAGTTGTTGCTTAGGTACAATGATAGAGTAAGGCCTAAAGCAATTATTTAAAATCCAAACGTGGATGTTTAGTTTAAATTAGCTTTTTTATAGACAGCACAAATTGCAGCTCAATCAAGAAAATCTGTGCAAATATGGAACGTTAATCTGACCTTAAAAATAAATTTGTACATCATCAGTAGAAACTTTCTAGTTCCAAAAGCTGGAAGGGTGTGCTGTGGTGGCTACTGCTTTGATTGAGAAATGAATGAAGGATTTTGCAGCTTTACTTCCTATATGTCATCGTAGGAAATGGCTTAATTAGCCATACGTTGGTTTGTCACACTGATTAGATATAAAATGTGCCGATACCAAAAATGAAACAATTCTGAATGTCAAGAAACAGCTACAATAAACTACTGATCGACTTCTTATTGTATTGTTTCATATAACTCTCTTAATTTCTTTTTTTTTAAACTTGCTAATATTAGGTTACTTTTGGCGCTGTGTCTCAAAGCCAAGTAGTTCATGAAGGTGAAGATCCTCCAAATCTATCAGCTAAAAGCCCTGATTGTACTCATGCCAGCACCAGCAGCTCTCTGGATTCTGTTAAGGCTGACACAGAGTTAACAAGTAAGACTTCCTTTGTGGTAATGGTTTCAAACCTTGTGTTCTTTACGCTTAATCAAGGAAGAGCCTCACCCGTAGTATATATGTCAATTGGGAAAGGCCTTGAATGTCTGCGTCACAGTTTCCCACCCAGCCCGTCAACATGCTTTTATGTTCTGGCTCAGAGTCCAAGCCGTTCAAGGAAAACCAAGACGGGAAGAAAAAGTAGCAGAATTTAAGTACAGCTTTGTTTTCAAGGGCAAGTTGGGCTCATGAGGCAGTTTAGTTACCTTAGCACAGAGCAAAGTCCCAACCCAAACTCTGTCAGCCCAAAGGTGATTTTAAGCTGGTTCCACGCAGAATGAGTCTGCGTGTCTCAGCACTGCGCTCTTGGAAGACGACTCCTCAGAGGGCATTGCAGGGACAGGCTCTAAGCAGATTCAGCCCCCGGGTTTAATTAGCTCTTGCTAATTAGCTAATACCTAACAATGAGGCAGAAATCTGCCAATCATCTGGTAAGTGATATTTTGCCTCTATTTACAAAATCGATTCCAATTTTGACCTCCTGCAACCGTGAAAGCATATGCCTTATCCAGCAGAAGTTGGGCTCTTTCCTTTGAGTGAGAAACTAGCTCTTGTTGGCTCAGAACTTGGAATGCCATGTTTTTACCTTGAAAGCTGCTGGCAGCTCAGATGTGCTTTGGTCTCTGTCTACATAGGATGCCCTCTGTGAACTGGTTGGAGTCTCTCAGTTTTATTACTTTTTAGTATGTTACATATGGCTTTCCTCCCACAGAAGAGTGAACTCTGTCATTTCATTACCGCTCTGACACAGATTTTATTTTACATTAGATTCTTAACCTAGTCCTCCTTATTTGTCCCAAGTAGTTGTTTCCTCAGTTACTTCATTCAGCACTGGAAACGCACATAAAGGTCAAACTCTGCATTAAAATTGCATTTTTTTCTAGAGCTAATGAGCTTAGGTTCATATTTCCATAAGAATATTATTAACCCCCACAATATCCCCCCCCCCTTTTTTTTGTTGTTGTTTTTTGGCTAGTTCAGCGAAGCAGTCAGATGGAGTCCCAGCTTCTCACAGATAGCATTTGTGAAGATAACTTACGGGAGGTATGTAAATAGCTGAAAGATGCTAACCTCTTGTCCTAACAGGAAAAATACTTGCGTGCGTATATGCAAGTAAGCGTTCTTGCTTGAAAAATGTACTTATCTGTATGTTTTTCCTAATCTTCACAGAAATTTCAGAATGGTGTTATCACAGTTGGGGAGTTTTTTACACTTCTTCAAGTCCATGTTCCGATTCAGAAGCCCCGGCATAGCCATCTTCCAGCCAATGTGAGTATCTGTCCGTTGATGCGCATAATATAATTGACCTTAAATTATATTCCTTTGCCTTTTAATTTTTATCAGCTAACCAGTCTGTATTAAAGGCCTCTAAATGAGTTAAGCCAGAAGTCAGTTCCACCTTGGCAAGTGTGTCAGACACTGCATGTTTCCTCTTGTCTCTTTGCCTTGTTCACCTCTGATAAGTCTGATGCTTTTTTTTCCTCAGTACTGAAAAACAGAATAACTTTCAGTCCCTTCACAAAATACCATATATCCAGGATTATCTGTTCTTGGATAAATATACTAATTCTTGCTTTTTTAACTTGTTTTAAGGATGGTAAGTTTGAAAGTAAGAATTAAAAGCTCAGTCTGACCTTTTCACTTTATCTTCTTACTATGTCCATCAGCCACTGAAATCAGAATCCTGAAATGCTACTCTGCACTCCTACTACCTGTTCTACTCTCCTTCATAAGTGCTTCACCATGACATTACTGCTCTTTATTTCTTCCCCTTAAGTCTGTTCTGCCTGAACCCAGTTTCAGTATCCTCATCCTGAAAGGTTTCTGTTGAATTCTTGCAGACATGGGAACAACTGGTTTTTTGCATGCAGACAAGTACCACTCATTGGTAGTAACTTGATGCTGAGCGAGGCAGTAATCTTGCTTCGCAATCATCCTGAAAGCAGGGCCTTGTAATTTGTTTTCAGTAAAGGCACCTTATTTTCATATAAGCTTTCTTATGACTAGTGTTTCAGACTTGGTTATTTGTACACATTTCTGTAGCCAACTGCATTTCTAGCTGGATGCTGGGGCTGGTCTCATCTGTCTGGATTTCACAAATAATCTTTATAACGAATGGTACTTATGCAATGAAGTAGTGTGAATGAGCTGCTTAGTTTTCTGTACATAGGTATTATACTGACATGGAGAAGTTTCCAGTTTCATAAACAGAGAAAGTTTGTTTGCAAGATTGCAATGCTTAGCATTTATTTAATAAAGTATATGGGGATTTAGTTCAAATACTTCCATTTCCTGCTGCTTACTTACAGTCAGCGATGCACTGGGACAATGGAAAAGCCATCCTGGAAAGTGGAAAACCTTAGCAGTGTCTGCATAATTTTGTCACTGGTTTGGGAGTTTCTTCTATGCCAGTACTTATTCTAGAGTGCTGGGGAACTTTTCAGGAGTATGTTCAATGTTAAGTAAGTTCTAATGAGATTTGATCTTCTTTCTTTCAAATGGGTAGCGGGACACCTGTTTTGGTAGGAATTTTTAATACATCTTTATGATAATAAGTGTAAGAGTGAAGTAGTTACTATGTATGAAAAGGAGTGGTCAAGATCATATTCTTCACATGGAAAGTGGCACATTTGTGAAAATTCTTTACTTGTGAAATTCGTTCTAGTACTTCACATTAGTTGAAAACTGGCTCCTATATAACCAAGTCTTACTGCTGTAAGATGTCACATTGTCAGGGCAAATATGTCAGTAGGATATTCGCATTAGAAATTTAGATATCTTCTTGGAAATAAGGACTGCAACTGTGGACCTTGTTTTATTAGTTTGCAGAAAGCCAGTGCACACAGCTGGTTTGATATGTTTGTGGGGCACACGTGGTGGTGTGTTCTGCCTTTCTTCATTGCCTCATGGCTGACTGAATAAAATTTCTGTGTGTCAACTTAGCAAGAGCGAGTAAAAAGTCTGTCCATTTTAAAGTTCTTTAAAACCGTTATGATAAAAGAATGAAAACTGATTAAAAAGAATCAGCTAAATTAATATAATTTGTATCAATTAAATTGCTTCCTTTATGGCTTTTAAATGTCTTCTGTTTTTATTTAAAATGCTGTACTATCTTAGTTGCAGTTTAGTTTACGCTTTCAGTTTGCAAATTTATTCATACTGAGCTGTCTCTAAATATTCATCAGGCTTACAAAACTCTGATACCATTCATTAGTGACTGATCTCCGACAAAAACCAAACACCACCCCCACCCCCCAAAAGCCCCTAAAAGCTTTCTCTGAAGGGATGGAATTAATGTCAGTTATTCATGTGCGTCAATAGATAGGTAGCTTGCTGAAACACCCCCATCGTATTTATTTGATGTGCCTAAGACTTGTTGAAAATTGGGAACTTCGATTCTGAATCAAGCATAGCTATCTTCTTTTATTCTAGAGCACTCTTGTTACCTGGATAACGTACGCGCGTTTTTCAAGTCTTCATCTAAAAGGAAGTTAACCTCTTTCAATTTTTCTTTTTTTTTTTTTTTTTCTTGAGCTCTGGTGATGAGGCATATGTCCCAAAAGGAAGTCCATGCTCAAATGTGAGGAAACGTGGGGCATAAAAGTGGAATGAGCTATCTAAGGTTATATGACTAGCTTGTCTCAGAATGAAATAGGACAAGTCCAGAATGAAAACAATCATTTAAGTATGTCAGGCTGCCTCCATTAGGGTTTGGGTTTTTTTTTCTTTTCTGTTCTGCAAAAATAAAGATTCTGGGCCTTTTGCTGGTTTCTGTACGTGAATGATCGGAAGTTTACTGTTTCTGAAAAATATGCATCTTTTTTTCTTCACAATTTTTCCCTCTGTTTTTCCCCAGTGTGAAGTCAGTGCACCACCTACTCCAGAAGACCTTATTTACAGCCAATATGTTTACCGCCCC